GCAGTAGATAAGGATTTGGACATCGACGAACAATTTGAACCCCAAAATAAGAATTTCAGAAGAAGCGATACTCTTAAAGCCAAGATAAGCTGCTCTGTGAAATATAGTCACTCCTCTTTGTGACTTTCTTTGTTTTCTTCCAAACTTGAGACAAATTAAGAGTATTCAGAGAAGTGTGGCTGCTTCTCATTAAAACCTGTACTTTTTTTTTTCTTTTTATCGTATATTTTAATTAGGTGTTGTCTTGACTGAAATTATCCCCGCCACATTTTCCTTGAAGCTTGCAAATCTCTGAGAAGCAGCTATCTGTATCTCCACTGCTAGCACTTTTCAGCTTTGCAGGATAGTGGGGTTTTTTTCTCCTTCCAGTGGCTGAGTTAATTTTCACCAATTGTAGCTCATCCTGTGTTTCAATTACTTTTCCTTTCAGGCTGGAGTTTTCTGTATCAGTATGCAGCGGAGGTTTAGGAGCCAATGTAGCTCACAGAACAAATGCAAAAATGATGAGTTAACACTATGATTCAAAGACTTTAGGATGCCCTGATCTCTTTTTGTCTGGTTCTCTCCCTGGCTTTTCTTGATTTCCTTCCCTCTTGTGTTCACTCCTTTACACGCTCACACTTGTATCCACATGCACCATCTGCCTCCCTTTTTCTCTCGTATCTGTCTCTCACTCATGCACATGTCCACAGGGGAGCGCCAGGAGTGGATGGAAACTCTTCAGACGGCCACGCGCCCCCCCGCCTGCGGCTCCCAGAAGCGCTCCGGCACCCTCCCTCACGCCTCCTCCACAAACAAGCGAGGCTTGCTGGAGCTCCGCGGTTACAAAGGCAGAGTGCTGGTGTCCCTGGCGGGGAGTAAAGTCAGGCTCTGCAAAACAGAACAGGTACTTCCAACACCGTCGGGACTTCCTCTCTACAGAATGACAGCTTCCTGTTTTTTGTATTTTTGTTTTTTAAAAGGGGAAGATGAGAGCCTATCTGAAGCAGTGGTGGCAGATGTGGAAATGCTCTTGAATGTGTAATGTGCACAAAGTAAATATATTTGCTTGAAATTGCTGTAGGGTACACTGAGATGCATTGGGCTCTCTGGAAAAACTGCTTATAGCCACGTTGACCCAAAGCTCGATCACAGCCACAACGGGCTGAAGAAGAAATGATACAAGACGAAGAATGTAGTGAAGTTAAAGTTGACGTGTTGTGCATGTAGCTGAAAATTGAAAATAGAAGCAGATGCTGAAATGTCTTAAGCCTATGTTCTTTTTAATGTCCAGCAGAGGGCAATAATTCTGTTTACATGGTTGTATGAAAGTATGTTGGAAAACATCTCAAATACTCACTTGAGTAGTTGATACATTTGAGTTCAAGCAATAGTTTTGAGTCTTTTTGAATGCACCATGACATTTAGGTTGTGAATTGTGGCTGTCATATACAGTGGGGCAAAAAAGTATTTAGTCAGCCACCGATTGTGCAAGTTCCCCCACTTAAAATGATGACAGAGGTCAGTAATTTGCACCAGAGGTACAC